GGACCGGGATTCACACCCGCGACCCTCAGATTGCGAGTCGAGCGCCTTATCCACCTGGCCATGCCGAGCCGGAAAATTATGAAAATGAATTCAAAATAAATTGTGATGTTTTTTTACATTTAAAGGGTATATGCTACCTTAAAGCCATGCTAAAAGTAAAGGGAAAAAACAGAATCTTGCCGACTGGAATATGATATCGCATTGTGTGCTTTTGTATTTCGAGAAGTCCTCCAGGCTACAACAGGATTTTCTCCCTATGAGTTACAGGGTAAAAGAGGCATTAAAAGACCATAACCCTTTTAATGTGGTTGCACAGAGTGAATAATGAAAACAAGAAACTGCTATGATGGAGTCTGTTACTACAGGATGTTAATTTACAGTACATTATAGAACAGCGAGTGGCCATTGAAATGTGGACGTCTTCTCACACATACATGGGTTATAAAGACCAGTCTCGCTCTGATTAAAACTAATGTGTATTGTATATAGATATGGAATGCAAGATCCATCCAGCTAGGGTTAAAAATTAAGTGTCGTCTTTGAATAAGTGGGTATCCAAATAAATGAGAGAGTAAGAAATTTTAAACGTACTGGTTGTAACTTCGAACAGTAAAGGCGGAATGGAGAAGACAGAGGTTATTTTTAAACTAATTGTGTATTGATATGTATAGAATGTTGTGAAAATGTTTAAATATTCTCCATAAGTATTGTAAACTTGTGGAGTAATCCACAACAAGACTGTTAACTTTGTGAAACATTAAAGAGAAACATATATAAATGTATCTATATAAATAAACGTCAGTATTTATTTCTGTGTATCTGTCCCTTATACCTTTCCACATTTCTTTATCAATCAGCACTAAACTTGACACAGTAATAGAGGATAACATGAGGAAGGTCATGGGAGAGGTTAGACCCCATCTAATTTCATATTGATAGAATTCTTTAAAACAGTATGTCTTTATTTTCAGTATTGGTGCCTTTATCTGTTTTTATTACACTTTTAATGTTTATTATATTAAGAAAAAATAAAAGCACAATTTCCTATCCTTTGTTACAAACGAGTTTTTATTTCACCTCAGCTAGTATACTTATAAAAGATAGCGAACTTTTCGAAATATTGTAATGATATACACATATATATATATATATATTAGACTGTGAAATTTATGACATGTGTAGAAAAGTCTGTAAGCTGTTAATGTGATATATGTAAATAGAAGGTAATTATTAAAGTGTTCGTTAAAAGAATATGAGTGGTGGAACAATCTAAAAAAAACGAGTATGATGATACATTGGAATAACGAAGCCTGAGATCATATCTAAATGAGAAAAGTATATAATCTAGATTGAATACAATCAACATTATTGAATGCATTCAGGAAAAGATGGAGAGAGGTATTAAGAATTGAAGTATGAGGTAATATTTTTTTAATGTATTATAATGTTTTTAGCCAGAAAGTGATGTGGAATGAGTGTAAGAAAGCGGATGGCCTCTGGTCAGTCTCCAAGTACTATATAGAAACTTAAAATATTAGAAAATGACCGGAGTGATTAGGTATGGTGGCGGTGTTCCTAAGTTTGATCTTTACACAGATTAAAAGACTCCACGTGGTTAGGAAACATTAAAATCAGCTACCAGAGATACAAGCTTACTTCCTGATCGTGAGAACGAAATAATGTAAAATGTTCTAAGCAAAAAAAGAAGTTAGGAGTGTGTTCGGAAAAGAGATAGAAAGACAGCAGTTCAACAAGAGAGGCAAAGGAAGACCAGGTCAGATGTGAGAGTCAAAAATAGAAACTGAAAAATGTGCAGGGAAACAGTGATATGCTTCCAGTAACAAACGAATATTAAATTTCTAAAGCTAAGAGTTGTTGATTACTGTATTAAACAATAACTTACGTTACGTTGGTGTGAGTCAGTTACAGATAGGAATAAAGGCACAACATAAATAAAGTTTATAAACGTAAGAAGGGAAAACGTAGCGCGAGTATGTCACTTCTTAACACTAACATTAACGCCACCAAAATTATTTTATAACACTTAGTCTTTGGTATTCTCGGGTACACTGAAAATCAACAGGTAAGTTACCAAACAACAATAGTTTGATAAGATCAGTTTTGCAAATTGTACTTAAACCAAACTAAAGAGTAGGATTTGGTTGTCACTTTTATAATGCACCCACGGTCCCAAAGTGTGAAACGCGTTTTTATTTTTTGGCGATAATGGAGCGAGAACCACACAGCCTGAGATCCAAAGTTGGCAAGCTACCCACTGAGCTGGGCAACATTCGTCCTTGATAAATGGAAATATTATGAGCGATATTATTATATTATAGCTTCTTAAGCTCCATAGTTACGTGAATTATACTTGTTTTTGAGTTTAGTCAAGAACATAAGAAGTACTATGATTGGTTTATACACTACACATATAAAAGTGTTCAAGTGAATGTGAACTTTAGCGTAAATTGACAAAATGGTTTCAGTAGAATTACTCATTATTTTCCTCAAAAAAAGACATTTATAATCATTATCTTTCCATATTCGACTAATGTTATTTACGTAAACATTCCACAACTACCATATTCAAAGCAAATTATGTAATGTAAAAGATATATGATTTGATTTGTTCATTTATAGATATGTTCTAATGAATATCAATTACATCTACAGATAAAAGGTTTAAGGTATCCCTCATTTTGGCTTTAACAGTATAATTCCTATTGAATTTAAAGTTGAATCATATAAAAACAATTTAAAAACCTATAATAAACTGATACCGGTTGGATCTTTTTACATTTAAGCGTACCACATGCTGCCACCAGCGTAGTATATTTTGGTGATTTAACACCACCTAAATGGAAGAGGAGTAAAACCTTACACGTGGAGAGACCAAAACAAATGTTCGTCTAAATGCAAGTATGTGTTTCGTGACAGGCTGCAGGAAGAACTTACCTTCCTCTTGAAAATAACAAATGATGTGAAATGACAACTATTTTGGTTGTTCAAGACAACTGTATTTTATAATCTTCTCATATATATTTCTATAAACAAGACAATTACCCATATTTTTTACTAGCAAAATTACACTTGGATAGAAACAAATTCAAGTGCTATCTTGTTTGATTGTAGTTATGCACAAAGCTACACAATGGACTATCTGTGCTCTGCCCACCACAGGTATCGAAACCCGGTTTCTAGCGTTGTAAGTCCGCAGACATACCGCTGTGCCATTGGGGGGGGGCAAGTGCTATCTATTCCCCAACACCAGTTCGTCATGTATCCTAGTTGAGCACATCGGGCTATCTGCTGTGTCCACCGAAAGGAATCGAACTCCTGATTTTAGCGTTGTAATTCCGTAGACTATATAATATAATACACCAGCTTAAATACCCGTTCAACGCACAGGAAAGACAACGGAGCCTCGGGGTGGGGGTGGGGGAACAGAAAGGGTAGTATCCGAACGCTGAGCTCCTTATGTCACTCTTTGGATGACATGCTAGGTTTGATAGACATCGCTCAAAATCTATGGTCACGAAAGGTGGACAAACAGCTCCAAATGCTGATCCTGTATGACGCTTCTCGGGGGCACTAAGGGTGTATGTTAAGTTTGATTGAGAGAGGTCAGAAAGGTTTAGGTGTGAAAAGCCGACACACATACGACACTTCTGCTATATATATATATATATATATAGCACATACCTCAACACGATCAATAATGTCCATAATCATATCTTTTCATTACTAGTGCTCATCAAGTGCTACTTCGTGTGTTAAAAAATATCTGGAGAATTGAAACATTCGCTTATCAAGATAGACCAAACATGACACAATGTACTCTTAAGGACCGTTTCAAATTTAGTGACACTCAGTCCAGCAGTTTGCCTGTTAGTTAAAACCACACATTTGTTCATAAAAGTTGTAAATCAATCAACGTAACTGATCCTACATCGCACGTTTAGAGAATTAAAGATTTTTTCTTATTATTTTGTGTGAAGGTATCATCTTAACTACCTTCCTATACACTGTAAACAGCATCACATAAATGATAAGTTTTGAAATGGCATTTTGGATTTTAAACTGTTTTACTAGAATGACAGAGCTTTACGTCTTACCATGTTTAAATAAAGTAAAAATCGCCTTTTTTATACAATAAATAACACACGGACTTTATCCTTGGAACTTATTAGAGTGTGGAAATGTACAATAAATAACACATGGACCTTATCCTTGGAACTTATTAGAGTGTGGGAATGTACAATAAATAACACACGGACTTTATCCTTGGAACTTATTAGAGTGTGGAAATGTACAATAAATAACACATGGACCTTATCCTTGGAACTTATTAGAGTGTGGAAATGTACAATAAATAACACACGGACCTTATCCTTGGAACTTATTAGAGTGTGGAAATGTATATTGGTGATAAAATGCCTTCCCTACAAAAAAAAAAAAGGTAATTTCAGCTTAGTTAACTTAATTATACAAAGTTGAAGATTTTAACGGAGTTAAATTTATGGAGCTGAAAGAGTGCAACAAACTAATGTAATTTTCCTGAAACGATAATTTACTGATAATTATATAACATTAATTATAATAAAGAAAACTGATATGAAAAACACAGCTAGAACCCCATCTATCACTTGTTATTTTACCTGCCCATTCTCTTGGGCCCTCATATGGGAATTCTTGTCCTTGACGAAAGAATATCATGGTTGGATACGCAGTCACTTTATAAGTTTTAATCAGTTCTTCTTCTACAGTACCATCCACTTTAGCAAGAATTACTGGTGGGTTGTTCTCTTTCAAAGCTTTGGCAGCTTGCTCATATTCTGGTTCCAGTGTTTGACAGTGAACACACCTAAAAAAACCCGAGGATGTTACTTGGACATTATTAAAGAAAATTATTTGAATATAATGAAAATGTTCATGCCCTTACTACAAACGTATTTATGAAATACCGTGCACACTATTTTATCAAAGTGGACAAAATAGTATTTGATTCAATAAAATTCTGTATCACATATGAACATGTATGTTGTTATTATCTTGTGGAATCTGATTTTTTACAATACAGCATACAAATCCATTATATGTTTGTGTAAGTTTTATGTTCAAACTCCTACCCATTAGTAATGACAATAAAAAAAATTCTCCTGAAATTAAGGGTTCTCTGTACATTATTCTAGTATAATTTGTAAATTAATTCAAGAGCAGGGTTAGATTGTAATTATTAAAACATCACCTACACGAACATGAAAAACGAGAGAGATATAAAGAATAACAAGCTTATTGAACTTTATTTTAGAAGTTTTTAGTACTGTATCTTAAACCTTTGTATTTATCATACCACAATCTCAAAGACAGAGAGAAAAGACAGTGCAATTAAAAAAAATGTTGAAAAGTTCACAAGATCATAGGTGTGAAACTAACACAAGAATGGACTTTATACAGGATCACGCCAAAATACGATTATATTGAAAACATCTTTTTTGCGTAAGTTGTAATTCTGAAGGAATTATAATGCAACCTGATAACTAATGTTGTTCTCATCAAAACTCTTCTGACATAAACTCGACCATATGTCAGTTCTAGTCCAATCAAAATCCTGGTACCTTTTCACTTTCACTGTTATAGTTGCATTTTTCCCCCATGGAATGTAGCAACCTTATTCTTGAGCTACTATCATATTTACAAAGGTAATTTCCCTTTTAAGTGTTTCTGAACTTTCTCATATTGAAGAATTCTCGAGTCTTGTGATAAGTGTGTTCTCTAATAGCAGCGGTTATGGAAAAGTTTCAGGAACATCTAGAAGCTCTATCCTCCCTATTTTTATTATAGATTGATAAAGTCACATGAGCTGTAAGTGCATTATGGAATAACTAACCCTACTGTAACGTCTATGTAGGAGTTATTTCCTTCTGTATCTTCCAGACGTACTTGAGATCTTCGTATGAGATAGAACTCTCATTAGTTTTTCATCTAAATGTATATATACCTACTGATTTGTATATCTTTGTGTGTGGGTAAAATATAGTATTGTATTTTAGTTTCACTGCCAACTGTGTATAGTCTTACCACCACTACATTTTATAATGGACACATTCCAAGGATGCAACCCTGTTCACCAGGAAACAACTAGTTGATAGAACTACATATAACGGCACATTCTAAATCTTAAAAGCTGGTAATTACTCAAAAAATAGTTCAAAATACTCCTGAAATATTAAGCTCACATTTAGGTACGAATGCTAGAAATGTGCACAACTAAAAACACATGCATTATATTTCAGAAAATATTACCATGGTGCATAAAATTCCACAAGGATAATGTTTGACTGTTTAATAACACTAGTTATATTTTCACTGGTCAAGGTAATCACAGCTTCTGAAGAAGGCTTGCTTACAAGATCATCCGGTTCTTTCACATGTTGCAGGATACCTGAAATAACCATTTATATTTATCTTTAATCTTCAAACAAGCGTTTAAATATCACATCTACACTAAAGTTATAGCACTGCCTACATAACGTTTAAATATTTAACATGGCACATCATGAAAATATAAGTTAATCACATCTACACTAAAGTTATAACACTGCCTACATAACGTTTAAATATTTAACATGGCAC